GGGTGCTCCTAGGGAAGGGAGCACTGAATGCATGCCCCTCCACCACTGCTCGCCCACCCCTAGGGCCGGCACCTGGCCCTGCCCACAGCTCTGGAAGGCTCCTGGCTCTGGAGGCCGGGTGGGGCAGGGCAGCCAGGGAGAGGTGGGAGCCCCGGGCAGAGGAGGGACTCCGGAAAGAGTCAGGTCACAGGTCACCCAAGGGCATTTTTGTGATGCTAATGATCCCACCCTAGCAGCCTGGCCTGAGGAAATCAATGGGAAAATATCCTCGGGTGAGGATTAAAGAATAATACTAATAAAAATAAGTCAAGTTCCACACTTTCCACACTAAAATCGGCCAAGTAACCAACCGTTGGCAGCAAACCTGCCTTTACCGGCACCGACCGCCACAGAGGACACGTTCTTTTCACGCCGGCGGAACGTTAATCCAGAACAATCCTCCTCTCGGTCACAGGCATTTCCAACACATTGTGGGTCGTGGAGCTCCTCCCCAGGAAGTTCTCTGCACACCGCGGGAGTGAGCCCGGGAAAAGAGAGATCTCGCTCCTAACTCCGTGTGGCAGTGATAAAGGACACGTCTGACCCCTCCCGGGGTTCTGGTTCCCAGCGCAGAGCTTCAAAAACGCTTGGAATCTCCCGGAAGGATTACCTTTTGTTTTTCCTGATGAGTCACTTTGGACGACACCTGAGTTTATGCTTGTGAAGCGGCCCAGGCTGAGCCTCAGCGAGTGTGCAGGGAGGAGCTGGTCACCTTGGAGCAACGGAGCAACGAGGCCTCTGGCTGGAGGGTGGGAAGCCGGCCTCACCCCGACCTCCTGGGATGGAGTTCACTCAGGTGGCGCCGGTTTAACTCTCCATGACGGTGTAATGAAACCTGGATTTAAAATGCTGAACACCGGGCTCAAGGGCGCTTCCGGTTGGTGAATATATTCAGGCACCTGGAGGGTGGCTGTACCCCGACTTCATGGGGACGGGGTCCCAGCATTCGGGAACCTCCCAGGCTTGCCTTATGTACATTTTTAAAATATTTATACAATATATATGTATTGATTTCGGAGAGGGAGAGAGAGATAGAAACATCAATGATGAGAGAGAATTATGGATTGGCTGCCTCCTGCACGCCCCACGCTGGGGTTGAGCCCACAACCTGGGCCTGTGCCCTGACCGGGAATTGAACCCTGACCTCCTGGTTCATAGGTCGATGCTCAACCACTGAGCCACACCAGCTGGGCCTCATGTACTTTTTTATCTGCCAGTAATAGTAAGTATAAAAAAGAGAGAGAGAAAGAAATCAGTGACAACGTCGATATCTGGAAAACCCTCAATTTTGAAAGCCAAATGACACACATTTAAGTAAGCCAAATGAGCAGTCCAAACAAAGATTAGAAAATATTTTGAATTGAATGAAAATGAAAACACACTGTATAAATTCTGTGGGATGCTGTCGAATCAGGCGGGGGGACCTTACGTAGCTGGGAACACCTGGATTAGAAAGTAAGCAAGGTCTCGCCCCGTCAGCGTGGCTCAGTGGTGAGCGTCGACCTGTGAACCAGGAGGTCACGGTTCGATTCCCAGGCAGGGCACAGGCCCGGGTTGCAGGCTGACCCCAGTGTGGGGTGTGCAGGAGGCAGCCGATCCATGATTCTCACTCTTCGGTATTTCTATCTCTCCCTCTCCCTTCCTCTC